CTTTTTAGGGAAGTCACTGACATCTGCATTATCATCTGCAGAGCAACCTGTGAGGGGACTTTGAGACAGGTGTGTGAAGGAAGTGGGGATAGATCATTTCCTGAAATATTGGGAATCAAATGTAAAAAGAGAAAGATTTAGTAGATGACCAACTCATAAAGGGAATTGTAAGACTGGGGTTTCACGGCAGAATTTTGCACGTGTCACACATCTGAAAGTTCTTGGTTTTGTTTTGAATGGATTCTTTCTCACATGTAGCTGAGGTGGATCTAGGAATCTGGATTTTTAACAAGCTTCCCCAGAGAGACAGGTGCAGGTGATTTGAGCCACATTCTGAGACTTAAGGGTTGTAATGTCTTTATTGATATCAGTGCTGCCAACAGTCACATGACTTGTGTAGTAGTTTGTAAAGCTCTGTACTTTTCACTTTATCAATACAATCCGGACAAAGATAGCTCCGCTTTTCCCAAGTACTTTCCATTAGGTTGAAATTTTATATTAGCCCCCCTCCACCTTAAAAATCAAACCAAATTGGAATTTGACAGTTACCTAGAATATGGCTGTAATAAAATGGATGTGAACATAGGTGATGACTTGGGAATAATAAAATTTTAGGGCTTAATTTAGTCATTTCAAGAAAGACATCAATGTCACTTTTCAATTTGAGTCCCACTTTTGGTTTAGCCCAAGGTTTCTGTGAGCGCTCATGAATTTTTTCTTATATTTGAATAGTCTCTGTATGCTTTTAGTTCTGAGAAGACATCTGAAATGCTTTCAACAAAATAAGAAATAGAAGTCCAAAGAATAACTGACTTTTTCATACAATGCTCTGCATTCTTTAAAATGACAAGACTCTAAATTTGAATCCTTTGCTTTAAAAAGCCCTCACTGAAAGACCATTGTTTCTAAAAATTAGAAGCTGGGAAAGCAAAGGTTTTGACAGTTTTCACACTGATTATCTTCAGGGTACAAATAATGATATGAGTTGAGTAAAAAAAAATTAATTTGCATGGAATTTTAAAACTGAGTTAGTTTTCCGTGAGCACTCAAAATATTGTTCTTTCCCCCATGAGATACCTCTTTATCTTGAAATGAGGAGACTAGTTTAATGAAGGCAAGGTATTAATGAAATAATGGGAGGAGAACTTATTAATAAGACCACTGGCCCAGTGCATATGCAAAAGTGGCAGTCAGACAGGTGGCAAAGGTGATGTTGCTGACAGGGTCATTGCAATTCAAAGCCTGGGGAAACGGTCATGGAAGGTCAACAATTGAATTCATGTAGAATAAAAATGAGCAAGACTAAGTGGTGCCTCAGAACTAAGTCATGCAATAAGGGGAACAAAAAATAAGCTATTAAAATGACAAAGATTTTTTTTTTAAGTGTGCACAATTCCCATCTGCTCGGTCTGCTGCTGCTGCTTAGATCTCGTACTCATAGCTCTAGAAGGTAATTCAGAGCTTCTATGCAGTGGGACTTAAAAATTAACTTCCTTCATGGCCGGGCGCGGTGGCTCACGCCTATAATCCCAGCACTTTGGGAGGCCGAGGCGAGTGAATCACGAGGTCAAGACATCGAGAACATCCTAGTCAACACGGTGAAACCCCTTCTCTACTAAAAATACAAAATTTAGCTGGGCATGGTGGCGCAGCCTGTAGTCCCAGCTACTCAGGAGGCTGAGGCAGGAGAATTGCCTGAACCCAGGAGGCGGAGGTTGTGGTGAGCCGAGATTGCGCCATTGCACTCTAGCCTGGGTAACAAGAGTGAAACTCCAACTCAAAAAAAAAAAAAAAAGTTAACTTCCTTCTCCAGACAACTTAGTGTAGATAGAGGAAGGGTAGATTTCCTTGGATTTGTTTCCCAAACTCTCAATCTTGGAAGCCATCACCTCATTTAGGGATTTCCTTCCAAGCACAAATGTTTAGATTTCTTTTTCTTAGGCTTCCTTCTATGACAAGGATCTCTATGTCTGATATTCCAACTCTTCCTATATTTTTAAAACTTAACCCAAAGTAAAAGACATTCTTGAAGACATAAATAACACAGTACTTATGAGACTATGGATAGGAGGATGTGGTTTCTAAAGGCAGATTTCCTTACTGGAGGATATCTGCAACCTTATTGAGTAAAGAGGAAGGATAAGACTCAGAAGGACAAAAGAAGTCTTCAAATGTTAGAAAGTCTCTAATAGGAAATGAGGATTGGCTTTTTTCTGGGTAGTTCTAATGGGTCATACCAACCCATGAAAGTTACGCATAGTTTTGTCTCAATACAAAGGAAAATTTTCTGAAAGTTAGGACATTTCAGAGTCACTATGAATCTTATCAGGAAAGAGTATTTAACACAGGCAGGATGATTATTTGTTGGTAAATTTTAGCAAAAAGCTGAGAAGCACTGGAAATTGGAAAAAATGACTCATTTTCTGCTCTTTTCAACTCTGGGATTATATGATTATACGATACTATGATTCTAACAAGCAACAAATAGCCTGATCACTCAGACTTTTCATTGAATTTATAGATAATTAAAACTTTATTACTTTCTCCCAGGCTCTTCCTGTTCTTATGAGTTTTAAAAAGTAAAAATATTTCAATCATTATTTTAATTTTGACTTTATAATATTATACAGTATGGCATTTTATGGGTAACTATTGAGATAGCCTCAAACATTCTGTAACATTATTATTTTTGTTATTATTTTTATTGCATTGGATTATCATGTAGACTCCTTGGATGTTTAAAGGGAATCATAGTCATGGTGTTGAGTGAGAACACCAATATGCTTAAGGCTGTTTCTATACGGAGAATTATTTGTTAATTCTTGTATCTTGATGATATGTTCTTAAGATATTCACTTAATTAGAAACTAGGACAATACCCAAAGCTGTGAGGTTGTTTACAATAATGGACTCTTTAGAGAGTTAGAGAATGTGAAAGATAAATGAAAATTAAATTAGAAACAAGGCTCATTTTGTCAGAGGTGATCCAACCAAAGCGACTCCATCTTGAATAGGGGCTGATGAAAATGAAGTTGAGACCTGCTTGGCTACGTTCCCAGGGAGTTAGGCATTTTTAGTCACAGGATGAGATAGGAAGTCAGCATTACTGGTTTCACAAGATACAGGCCACAAAATTCCCTCTGATAAAATGAGATGTGGTCAAAAAGTCAGCCAACAACCCAACAAAACCCAGATGGCAATTAAAACCATCTCTGGTAATCCCCACTGCTCATTATGTGCTATTTATAATGCATTAGCATGCTAAAAGACACTCCCACCATGCCCAGCCTGCTTCTTTTTTCCTAATGGTAATAGTACATCCTACTTATACACACATAGGGATGATTGATTTATTAACTTTGGAATTTTAAAATTACTTCCTGCTATATAGATAATGATAAAGCTCACAATACCATATCTAACAGCTGGTTAAATAACAAGTTCAGACTTTTGATATTGAAGTGCTTTATATTGAAAAGTAAATGAGATACCCTATTTATTGATTTCTCTCTTTCCAGATATACATGGTATGTGGTCAGTAAAACCTTACTGATGAACATGACACATACTTTCTTCATTCTGGCGTCTATTTATTCATTTACTCAATAAATCTTTATTCAGTACCTAAGTACTATGCTAGGCATTGGGAGTAGTCGTCCTGATCGATATTTTCCCTCACAGAGACTATTTTGTTCTGACTTGACAGTCTCTGCTTTTTTTTTTGAGACGGAGTTTCAGTTTTTTTTTTTTTTTTGAGACGGAGTTTCGCTCTTGTTACCCAGGCTGGAGTGCAATGGCGCGATCTCGGCTCACCGCAACCTCCGCCTCCTGGGTTCAGGCAATTCTCCTGCCTCAGCCTCCTGAGTAGCTGGGATTACAGGCACGCACCACCGTGCCCAGCTAATTTTTTGTAATTTTAGTAGAGACGGGGTTTCACCATGTTGACCAAGATGGTCTCGATCTGTTGACCTCGTGATCCACCCGCCTCGGCCTCCCAAAGTGCTGGGATTACAGGCTTGAGCCACCGCGCCCGGCCGGAGTTTCGCTTTTGTTACCCAGGCTGGAGTGCGATGACGCGATCTCAGCTCACCGCAACCTCTGCCTCCTGGGTTCAGGCAATTCTCCTGCCTCAGCCTCCTGAGTAGCTGGGATTACAGGCACGCACCACCGTGCCCAGCTAATTTTTTGTATTTTGAGTAGAGACGGGGTTTCACCATGTTGACCAGGATGATCTCGATCTCTTGACCTCGTGATCCACCCACCTCGGCCTCCCAAAGTGGTGGGATTACAGGCATGAGCCACCGCGCCCGGCCCTCTTTGCTTTTTTACCTATAGTCTATCTAGTGAGACAGGTGTTGAACAGGTAATTATAATTGTGTTATGTGTTATGAATAAGTACAGGCAAATCTGCAAATGTGTCTTCAGGTACACTAGAAGGGTACCTCTAGTTACCCTGGAGATCGGGGTACTTATAGATGACTCAACCCTTTTATCACTGTCTCTCAGCATTACTACTTTCACTAGTTTTAAGAAATTAGAGTTTCAATCATTATTTTAATTTTAACTTTATATTATTCTATATTTAGCCTCGCTGAGAAAATGGCATTGAAACTTAGACTTGAAGGATGAAGATGAGTTAGAGCAGGAGCTGTAAGCATGAGATGGGAAAAGTATCCCGGACAAGGAGCCATCATAAAGCGAGAACTAGCATAGTGCACTGGAGGACCAGGAAGTGACCCCACATCTTAACAGAACTTTACAAGAGAGCTAAATTATAAATACCGTGGGAACATGTCCTAGCTCTCCTTTTGTGGGCAGACAACCTCTGTACCCATCTAGAAATAGGTTTGCTATTTTGTTATGGATTACTTCAAATATCTAATGAAAATCATCTGACATGCCAAAACAAAGCTGGTCTAAGAGCCTGTGTTGGAGCAGAATAATAATGTGCTGCTCAGAATTCAGTGAAGCCTTCCTCATGTCCTTCTGCATGTCACATGCAGGATACAGGAACTGGGAGAGAGCTGAGTAAGCATGAAAAGATCACTTTTAGAGTCTCCATTACTGCCTCTGCCTCCAGTCCCAGCACTGCAGAAACACAGACGAGAGAGGAGAGTTATGGATTGAGCGTGAGTACCAATACAACACTTTTAAGTGTTATTTCCCCCTTGAAGCATCAGTGAATCTAAGAACTGAGGAAGGAAGAGAGTGCAGGTGTATAACCTCCCACTTGTTCGCTCTCCAAAAACCCTTTACAGCGTCTTCTCCTCCCCCCTCCCTTCTGATTTCATATTTAATATTTGACAGGTAGAAAGAAGAGAAAGTGCTGTAAGCTCAGGATAATAATAAACTAGTTAATATCTGCCTACTTTCATTCTGGGGGCAAAATTGTGGCATTTGTATCAGATTGAGGACCCATATGGAGGAAGATGAACACCAAAGTACTGGGGACAACATGAGGGGTAATGTTTATGGGCAAAATGGGGTTTGCGATTATAAGGTCCATGGTTATCACATTAAAAATGGGGACTTATATTATAGATGTACGCTTAAAATATTGAATTTCCCTATGTTGCTTTACTGAATTCACACATCAACCTATGATGATTTAATGTTAGCCAACAGTTAATTGTATTTACTCAGGCAAATTTCTTAAATTCTATCTAATATTAACTTAATGCAATAGAGTGGAAGACAGTTTATTCATAATGTCTGGAAAATGATTGATCTTCCTGTTAATGATATTTCTGAAGTTTAGTTACCATAACTCTAAAGTAACACTGTTCAGTAATATAATGTAATCCACAAAGATAATTTAAAATTTTTGTAGCCACATTAAAAAAGTAAACAGATAAAATTAATTTTAAGGACATGTTTTATTTCACCTAATATAGCCAAACTGTTATCATTTCAGCATGTAATCAAAGTGAAAAATTTTCCCCCTACTGTCTTCAAAATCTGATCTGTAATTACACTTAAAACAAATATCAATTATCAAATATTATGATGAATGCTAAGAGTTCATCGTAACTACTTCATCTGTTTTTACATTTCATAAAGATACAGTTGAAAAAGTAGACTCATATAGAAAAAGTAAAAAGATCAAAGACTGGGGAGACAGAGGGATGAATAGTTGGAGCACGGAGGATTTTTAGGGCAGAGACATGATTCTACATATTTAACTACAGTATGATACTATAATGGTGAACATGTGTCATTATACATTTGTCCAAACCCATAGAATGTTCAACAGCAAGAGTGCTTAATGCAAACTCTACATTTTGACTGATATGTCAGTGTAGGCTCATCAATTGTAACAAAAGTACCACTCCACTGCAGGGGTGCTGATTGGGGGAGGCTGTGGAGGCAGAGGGTTTGTACTTTTTACTCCATTTTGCTGTAAACCTAAACACTGTTCTAAAATATAAGGTCCCTTAAAAATTAAATTATGAACTGACCAGTGAATTTTCTCCTCAAACTTCCATTCTTACACTATAATTTTTGACAAACTTAATAATGTTTGATAATGCAGTCTAGAGTTTGCATAATGCCTTTTGATTTTGAAAATTCTTTCTTCCCTTTAAGTCTTGTCAGCTACTGTGTAAACTCAAAACCAAGTCCAGAATCTTGTTTCATAGCCTGTGTTCACAAACCGCATGTAATCTCTGTATAATCATTTGTTTCTCTGTCTTCCTCTAGGCGCTAAGCAATTCCAAGGCAGAGATTAGATCTCGCTTGAATTAGTAACTGGAAGGCTTAGTAGTCAGACACAAAATAGGTCTCAGTAAGTGTCTGTTGAATGGTGGAAAAAAGTAGATCCACATAACCAAGATGTTCCAAACATACCGACAGTTTTACAATCATGGAACTGGGCATTTGTTGTTAGATTTAAATTAATGAAATTAAATACAATTAAAATTTTGTTTCCCCATTCGACTAGTCACAGTGAAGTGCTCGTTAGCTAATATGGGTTGGATACTTGTCCCCTCCAAATCTCATGTTGAAATGTGATCCATTGTTGGAGGTGGGACCTACGGAGAGGTGTTTGGGTCATGGGGGTGGATTTCTCATGAATAGTTTTGTACCCTCCCCACAGTAATGTGTGAATTCTCACTCTATTGTTTCTGAGAGAACTGATTACTAAAATGAGCTTGGCACCTCCTCCCCTCTTTCTCGCTTGCTCTCCCTCTCACCATGTGACACGCTGGCTCTTCTTTCCTTCTGCCGCCAGTAAAAGCTTCGTGAGGCCCTAAACAGAAGCCCAGCAGATACTGGCACCATGCTTGTACAGCCTGCAGAACTGTGAGCCAAATAAGCCTGTTTTCTTTGTATATGACCCTGCCTCAGGTATTCCTTTATAGCGACACAAAATGGACATTAGCCACATATGGTTAGGGCTGTCACATTGGACATGCAAATTGATGTATTATAAAGATAGAAAAATGGAAAAATTATCCCAGCTCCAACATCTTGCAGACAATTTTCTTTTTCTCTTCTCAGTCTGTGAATTTGCAAGTGATATATATATAACAAGGATTTACAACGTTTTTTAATGTGCCGAGTCATATGAACAATAAATAACTGTTACCACTTGTGCTTCTGTATTTGCAGTGACTCATTCACTGGGACTCCCACCTTCCTGTCAAATTGGGCCATGGTGAAGTCAGTGAAGAATCATTAGCATTTCAGATGACACCATTACTTCATGCAGCATTCTAGAGCAAATTTGCTTTTGTCATTACTGGCATGCACTTTGATATGGATCATTAAAAAAATCATTAATAAAAAAGTTTCTCTCTTAGGAGCTTATAGTTGAGATTCTTGGGTAAAATCCAACTCCTGTGTCAAAAACTGATGTTACTCGCTAATCTGAGTTTGTCACCTCTGAGTCTAATTAGAGAAGTCGAAATGGATTTTCCTTAGCATTCCCTAGAGGATTAACATGTGTGATCCCTTAGAGATTTTGGAGAAGTACAAGGGAAAATGTAGATTTAAACAAAGAAAATGCATTGCAAAAATAACCGCATTATTACACACTTTCTTCAGGGATTAGCAATACCCCACTACAGACAAATTGGATGCCTGGATCTATAGCACATGCTCTGTGAAGCCAAGTGCTTGTGAGGGCTGCTCTCTGAGTCCTTCTGTTCTGTTACAGCGATTTCAAATACCATGGCATCTCCTATCAGGATTTTGCAGACTTGGGTTGGACAGAGCAGTAGATATCAGGCCATTCAGTTCATTTCACGAAGCACTGATTGGAAACGTAAGACATTGATTTGTGTGCAGTACAGAACAAAATGTACGTAAGACATAGCCCTTGACTTTAAAGAGCATTGCTTGTCTGTAAGATGAGTCCCCTAATGAAGACAGTACATTATAAGTATACTTTTATATTAATAGCTTCAAATTCTAGGCTCTAGGGGAAACTCTTTTTTTTTCTCTGCTTTTCTTCCTTATAATGAGAATTGAGAACTAAAATACTACTTGATGTTCTAGCACATTATCTTCCACTTCTCATGTCCTAAAAGTTCTGAGCAGAACTGGATTGGAAAATCCCTGTCAGCATCCATTATCTCTTGAGTTTAAATTAAAAGTCTTTTCCAGGACCTCAGAAGGAACTACACAATCTCATCCTTGCCTATCTCTTCAACTTCATTTCTCTCCAGCTACATCAGTCTCTTGCACTTTCTCAAACACACCAAAGGCTATGACCTTTACATTTTTTTGTTGTTCTCTCTGCCTGGAACATCCTCTTGACATAACTGACTGCTTTTCATCAGTCAGTTGATATGATATGACATCTCTTCTCTTTCTCTTTGTCAAAAAAAGCAAAGATGCTTTCTCTGACTACCTTGTCTAAAATAACTTCCCTCAGCCCCGGTTTCTCTCTAACCTCTTTCTTTTTTATTTTCTTTACAGGACTTATCGCTGTCTCTATTCATTTAGTGTTTCCCCTGCTGATATTGAAGGGTCGTGACGGAAAGGACTTTGTCTCATCTGGTGAAGTGGTTTGGCTATGTCCCCACCCAAATCTCATCTTGAATTCCTGTGTGTTGTGGGAGGGACCCAGTGGGAGGTAACTGAGTAATGGGGTGGGTCGTTTCCCTGTTGTTCTCGTAATAGTGAATAAGTCACATAAGATCTAATGGTAGTTTGAAAAGGAAAGTTTTCCTGCACAAGCTCTCTTCTCTTGTCTGCTGCCATGTGAGACATACCTTTTACTTTGCACCATGATTGTGAGGCCTCCCCTGCCATGTAGAACTGTAAGTCCAACAAGCCTCTTTCTTTTGTAAATTGCCCAGTCTCAGGTATGTCTTTATCAGCAGCATAAAAATGGACGAATATATCCAGACTCTAACGTCAGTTCCCTGCCAAATAGAGATGCCTCATATTATCTGCTTGTCATAGTTCATTTAAGCTGCTCTAATAACATACCTTAGACTGGGCAACTTAGAGACAATGGGAATTTATTTCTCACTCTTCTGGAAGTTGGAAAGTCCAAGATCAAAGCAACAGCAGATTCACTGTTGGTGAGAGAGCTCTCTCTGCTTCACAGATGGCATCTTCTCACTGTGTCCTCATATAGTTGGAAGGACTGGCTGGTTCTCTGGGTTTTTTAAAATAAAAGCACAAATTTCTCTCTCTATCTCTATGAACTAATCACCTCCCAAAGGCCCCACTTTTTAATATCATCACCTTGATTAGGTTTTAACATGAATTTGGGGTAGGGGAACGCCAACAGTCAGACCACAGCTGCACTCAATAAATATCTGTTGTATTACGGATGTTTTGCCTGTCTATGCATTCACTGCTGGTGGAGCTTGAATAAGTCAGATACCATTTTATAATAATAGTTGCTTCATTCATGGGAGTTTTACATACATATATTGAGATAATATCTGAAAAAAATTAAAAATTGCTATGTATCATACAATATAAGTATGGTTATTTTTTCTACTCAGGTTAGCTGGACCCCCACAGAGCCATCTAGCTTCAGAAAACTCAGTTTCTGCTTTGCACAGCAAAAATGTGCACCTCCAGGAACCAAAGTAATTGGTCTTTGTAAAAGGAGGGAGCAGAGACTAGTTTGTTGTAAGATGGTGACTTATCCCCAAGGATTCCATGGTCTTTTGTGTGTCCGTTGGTGAGGCAAAAAGGCTTTTAGAACTCCCATACTCCCATCTCAACTTTCTGTCCACAGAATTACTTTGCATTTAGCCACTGCATTTTGTCAGCATGGGCATTATTTGGCTTCTGAAAGGTATATGTAAGAAAATTGAAAATGAAGGGCAGCCAGCTGCCACTTTTTAGATAATGACAGTAATGATGTGGTAAATTGATATAGTCTTCAAGGAAATATGCAGGGAGATTCATTTCCAACAAGCCACCTTGTATTAAATGGGATCTACTTAAAATAATTCTGCAGCGCAGGTGAACATCATAGCTGCAAACTAATAGCTATATAGAGACACACCAAAATGAAGATGGCTACATTCTACCTTTGAGTCCCAACAGTGTTCACACGATGCACAGGAAAGAAAATAAGGGAGTAAATTATCAGCTGACAGTGCACATTAATTGGAAAGTTACTAAAACCTTTTCATTCACTTAAACTGATGGTGGTACATAACCACGTGCTAATAAACAGAGGAGAAGCAGCTTGCTGTGTACAGTCATTTCTTAGTAAGGTTAACAAACTACATTAACCATTCACTCATCTGTAACTTGTAATTAATCACTCCTTGAAAATTACATTGTGTAATAAATGAGGACAGACATGATTCATTAAAACTTCTAATTAATTCTATTTAGTACTATTTCATAGTTCATTGATAAGTGCTGAGAGAAGGATTGCACTGTAGGATATCTGAGGCATTGCTGCTGAAGAAGCAAATAGGGGAACATTATTTAAAAGAAAACATGAACACTTGCAAATGAAAATGTCAGATGTTTATCATCGCAGTGCCTGGTTCTATACTCAAGGGTTTCTCAGCATTACCAGTGGAAAACTCCATTTTCAGGCTCTATCACTTGGGTGTAAAATCTCTTCTGGGTGCAGCTGGATGCTTAGCATCTCAAGCTGGGGATGAGCTGAGTCTACTTTGTTTTCCTAATAAATATTCAGGGCTGTTTTGTGGGCTAATGATAAGACTATTATTAAGCAGATATATTCACATCTGGAAAAAGATCGATTTATATAAGAAGACATACTTAACAGGCAATTATGGCTTTGGGGTCATTTAATTGCAGTGTGTGTGTGTGTGTGTGTGTGTGTGTGTGTGTATGTACATGAGTGTGTGTATTAGTAGATATTAAAACAGCAGGGATATTTGTGGCAAGGAAAGCCCAGTACATTAACTTTAATGTACTGCTTTTCAGAGAAAATAATAAGACTGTGAAGTACATGGTTACAGTCTGGGCTGAGGAGAAGGCAATCACTACTAATAAGTGAATAACGCATCTTTTGAAGTTTAATTTTGGAATAATGTATTGTTAGTTTTTTTTTTAACTTTGCCATTGACATAGTCTTTCTGCAAAATGTGTTCTAAGAACCATTAGTGGTTCCATGGTGTAAATGGCAAGGACTCTGAGAGAGAAAGATTAAAAAAATATATACCTAAAATAGGTAGTTGTATCATACGTTTACAAAGAACTCTTACAACTTAATAATAAGATATCCAACTCAGTTAAAGAGTTGAACAGACACATCAAAAATTGAGACATATAAATATCCAGCATGAAGATGCTTAACATCATTAGTAATTGAGGAAATAATAATTAAAACCATCATAAGAAACGGATACCCATTAGACTTGTTAAAATTAATAAGACTGACAATACCAAGTGCTGACAAAAATATGGAATTCTCATATACCACTGATGAGAATACAAAATGGTAAACCATGTTGGAAAACATTTGACATTTTTTTTTAATGTGATAAGCATACATCTACCATACAACCCTGTCATTCTACTCCTAGATGTTTACAGCAGAGTAATGAACCACTTGTTCAGACCAACACTTGTACATGAATGTTTAGGCAGCTTTATTAGTAATGGCCCCAAACGATAAGCAAGCCAAGTGCCCACTAACAATTGAATTGATAAACCAGATGTGGTACCCTCCATTCAACAATGAAACACTTCTCTGAGGGAAAAGCAGAACTAACAACTGTCAACACGGACGAAAAAAAAACTAGACACAAAAGACTTCAGACTGTATGAAAGTCCAGAACATGCAAACGAATCTGTAGTGACAAAGAGTAGACCAAGCACTGTCTGGGACTGTGAGCAAATGGAAGAATGAAGTATGAAGGAGTCCAAGGAGTCTTCTGGGGCTGATGGAAGTGCTCTGCCTCACGACAATGGTGGTTGTTCAAACCATCACAACTCATCAAATCTTCTATCTTAAATGGATGTGACTTATTGTCCGCACATTATATTTAATAAGTTGACTGTTATAAACGAGTTATAAGTCTGGGTGATCCATCTCGCAATCAAAATATTAAGATTCTTTAGTGAACAATTACTTTGAAGCCTCATCTAAATTGCATCTACATAAAAGCAGGTGAGATAGAGAAGGTTGTTGACACAGGGTAGGAAGCAAGTTCTGAAGAGTTGATAGCTATTTTCTGGCCCTGAGCTGATGGGCATCTAATTAACAATTTTCATTCTTCAGGTAAGGTGACTCTGCAATGTCTTATTAAAGTGAACTACTTTGGAAAATATTAAAGTAACTTTGTGCCCCTAGAGAGTACACTATGATGGAGTCCCTGCAGTGTAGTCCAAGGATTGGCATTTTAGGCATTCGATCTGTGCCCTGAGCTTCTTTCTACCTGTAAAAAAAACCCCAAACTGATTTTCAGGCTTTCACATCCCAGTACCTTTCCATGTCTGAACCATTTCATGATTTTAGAGCTGTTTCTTGAAGCCTGCTTATATACCCCTGAACATAGAAGTTAAAAAAAAAAAACAAAAAAAAACCACCACCGCCACCAGCAACAACAAAACAAAAAGAAAGGAGACAAAAAAATATACCTATTAACCTCAAAGGAAGTAAACCTGGATTTCTGCATCTACTAACTTGGGCAAGTCATTTAACCTGCCTGGACCTCAGTTTTGTCATCTCTAGAACAGGACTAATAACACTTCTGTTACTGGGAGACTAACGGGCACAATGTATGTGAAGCCTGAAGCCTGTTTGGAGGGGTGTGTGTGTGTGTGTGTGTGTGTGTAAGAACTCTTTAGGGATTATCTGAGGGGATAAGGAGGGTAAGGAATGGGGCATTCAAGACACCGGGTCTCCAATTTTTGCTTTTAAGGTGTCCATTGCTGGAAAAACATTTGTTAAAAGTCATAAATCACAGGATTTGAGAATGTGTAAGTTTTTTTTTACCCAATATTATACAACTAAAAAAGTGAGGAAACTCACAGAAACACCAGTCTTCATTAATACTTCTTTTATATATTAGGGTCATGCATAATAATGCATTTTTTCAACCAATATTATTCTTAATAATGCCATCAAATTCAATTAACATTTTCCTATAAGAAAAGCAGATAGCCTCAGACTTCTTCAGTGGTTTATAGATTTTTGCAGTTCTCAAAGTCACAGCCAGTACTTATGAAAGCCTAGTATAAATGTCTAGAAAATAAGAAAGGCAATAAATCTTATATGATGTTAATTATCAACTTAACCTATTTTTCTCTCCTTACAGGATTGACCTTTTAGTGGACTGAATTATCTACTCATTTTCAATTAAGTTTCCATATGGCAAATTGAAGCTGACCCTGTTACAATTAGAAAACTACACAGAAGAAAAGAGGCCATAAATACTGTGAGAGAAATTGTATTTTTGGATGTTGTGTGTTTATATTTCTCCAGCTCCCCACAGAAAGAAAGAAAAGGAAAAGAAAAAAGAAAGAAATGCAGAGCTGTTAAAATATGTTGGGTAAAATGGGCAATCAGTTAACCTACATAACTGTAAATCCCTCTCCTACCATAGGTCTCATTTGTTCCAGTATCCTCCATCATTGATTTGGTTTCCTTGTGTAGACTCTAAAAAGATTTTATTAAGGTGATAAAGTTTTAAGAAGATTTATTGTTATTAAGAGGCAAAAAATATACCTCGGTGATAGGGTGATCTGTGCAGCGAACCACCATGGCACATGTTTGTCTATGTAACAAACCAGCACAGTCCTTCTTATGTACCCATGAACTTCAAATAAAAGTTAGAAATAAAAAAGTTAAAAAAAAAACACCACCACCACCACCACCAACAAAAAGAGAATAGAAAAAATATTAACCTCAAAGAAAGTAAACCTGGCTTTATGACTGAGTCCTGCACCTGCTCACTTGGATAAGTCATTTAACCTGCCTGGATCTCAGTTTTGTCATCTCTAAAATAAGAATAATAACACTTCTGTTACTAGGGGGTGTTCAGGATTAAGGGCCACAATATACATGATAGCTGTTAAAACTGACATGATGGTATTAAGTTTTGCATCTGTGATAAACTAATTACTCATAAGAATTTTTTTTATTTTTAAAATTGTCTTAAAATTTTAGTCATTTAAAGTGTTTAGGAAGCATTTGATAAAGACCAAATAGGCACAGTAGTGTATTCCCTAAGGGAAATGTCTTGAAAAAAACTGGAATAATTGCACTGGTCTCTTAGCCTAGTCATGCTTCCCAGCCTGTGTCAGAGTCCAATTCTGTATGACTCTCAAATTCATCTCATCCATTAGTAAATTAGAAGAGTAGACTGAAAGGGAGAAAGCTTTCTCCTTTCCCCAAAATATCTCCTTCACCATCTAGTCATAGAACTACCATTTCCCACCAATTTGTGAAATGTATTTCATTGTAAACACAAATTTGAGGGGCAATTGATGTATTGATTCATGTGTCCTGGGGTGACAGGGGTCAGCAAGTGAGCAGACCACACTGGTAATTAGGTAATTAGCATGTAATGAAAGGTTTTCTTGTCTTTCATGAAGACTTCTTTCTTCTCTGTGTGAAATGCACAGATTTATACAGTCACACCCCAAAACAAAGACAAAAAACACTTCAGGTTTGACTGAATGCAATGTCACAGCACAAAAATTAGAAAGCTATTGAAGTATTTTTGAAATGTAGACAATTTTCCCCTAACAAAGAACAAAGGAAATTTGCCCGAATGTCTATTTCATCAGCTGATTTTTTTTTTACAAGCAGAATTTTGCAAACAGCTTAGTTTGAAAATTTGAGATGATTGTTGATTTAATATTTTTGGGCCAGTTTTCAGGTTTTCTTTTGCACTAAACAATTACAAACGTTTTTCTTATTTTCAGCACAACCCTCTAAGACTAACTGTGCCACTCATTACTGTATTACTTCTGAGCTCCAAAGTCATCCTTTGTTACATGCTTTGCGATAATGGAGCTTTACCCTTTAAGCATTTTTCTTTTGCTGTGGGCATGGTATTAAGCTTTGTCAGAAGAGAGCAGTGGAGGGACAGTGAAGGAGGATGGGACTCCTCCTCTTCTTGGTTCCATTTGTGTTTTTTCTCAATGCATGGCTGGCAGTGGCATGTTAGATGGAGACAGCCAGGAGTGCTCTGCCCAATTGTGTGCTTGAAGTGAGTTTGAAATCTCAGCCCTAGCCTAGTAGTCTGCTTTTGAGATCTTTCCAAGGTCAACACTGTGTTTTCCAGGCTTCATGCTACCCAGCCAATAAGTGAACTACTGATACTCCAATGCTCCCCTTCCTCGGCTCACCTACACTCCAGGAGGTTGTTTCTCATGGCCCTCATGAATCAGACAATGTATATTGTACTGCAGACCTCACACCATCATGCAGGTCAATGAGCTCCCCATGCTCTAACTCCATCCACATAGTACCCACTAGACGTGGCCAGTCTGTATTTGGAAGAATATTTCTTGCTTGCCCCATGATTATGAACCCGCTCTGGCTCAGGAACACCAATGAAATTCCTCACTATCCAGTCAGCTGTGACCGTATCTTCTCCAACAAGATCTGAACCTCAGACTTGGAGTGGGGCCCTCCTTCCAAATTTGTTCTTCTCTTGGGTATTCTCTTCTCCTTCACCTTGAGATATTCCTTAGTTTTCTTTACTCCTGTGTAGTCACTTACCTGCTATAGGTAATAATTGTTTACATTAAACTTTTCCTGTTAAATTACAATTGCAAGGTCAACCTTTTGTTTGGTCACTCTGATATTCTACACTAATACAGAATTGGTATTGAGATGGAGAGTAATCCCAGTTTATAGACTTGCAAAGATGGGGTTTTGAAATTGGTTTGGTTTTGCCCTTGGACATGAGCACAAAGCTGAGCTCTTCTCTAATAGAAAGTGGGATGTTAGTAATTCATGGTATGCAGGGATATCATAATCAATCATACTATAACCAGTGGTAGATTGCCATGAAATGTGAACTACAGTGAGTGTCTTGGATGCTCAGGAGGCTGCAGTTGAGTTGACAAGGATGATAATAATGACAACTTCAAGGACTGTGGTATGGGGGGACTAATTTTGATTGAACCTGAGTACCTAAGACAGGAAAAAGATAATCTTAGGTTCCTTAGCACTCAGCTTAAGTCACAGTTTCAGAACTGTGGAGATTTCATAATGGCCCTAAAATTTGTCTAACCACTATTAGGCTCAGAACTAATATTACTGAAAACCAAACATAAAATTTAGTGTACAGTTTGCTGAATTACAGTAACAGTTGACTTCGCAGTCTGGTCAGGTTTCTCATGTGAATGTTAGAACATTGATTGGAAAATAATGAGGTCCTGAATCTTGTAATTTGTACATATGGCTGAGCTCAGAAAAAACCCCAGTAATTTTGGCCACAGAAGTCATTCTGAGTTTCTTTCATCAGTGGAAGTAGCTTGCCTTCCAAGATCTGAGGAAACTAGCCTTACTCTGCATGAAAAGCCCGTGATAACCTCACTGGGAGAAGACACCATATCCTCCTCCAGATGTATCACAACCACCTCCTGTTGCTACTAGACCTATGGGCTAGGGTAACATATCACCACGCTACAGGAGACAGTGAAAACAGGACAGCCCAGGAAGGGATGGCTTACATTATGAAGGCATTGACTTTTCGAACATATATCAGCAAAAATCTGCAGAAAATTTCTAAGGGTCTTTGAACAAAGATGATAAAATACAACCCTAGATTTGGCTGAATTTCTTTGGTACGATGCGCTTACTAGAGACTTTAGATTTATGTTTTAGTTTTGCAGTTGTGGGTAGCTCTAACAGCTTTACAGAAACTTGAATGCAATGGTAGTCTACATTTAATAAGACTGAGATTCCAGACCTTCCCTGAAATGCTGTGGAGAAGACAACTCAAAGATTTTGGAGATAATGGAATTGATGGACTGGATTTGTTATGTGTGATCTGCGCATTTACTCCCCAATTATGTTTCATGAGAGAGCCCAGAAAATATGCCCTTCCCTTTTGAGTTTAAAAATGTGTTAGTAGGGGGAACGATTGTATCCTTGAAAAGTTTGGTCATTGCTGTCTTTCGTATGACTGTGGCTATGGGCTCCCTGATTTCAGTGAGGCTGAGGGGAACCCATAGGAGCAGAGGCCAAGCAGCAGTACTTAATCACCAAAGACAAGGTGGCACACCTATCATAGGGACAGCAGGAATATATCAGCAATCAAGATTTCTCTGCCATGTTTCGGTGGATAATTGAGAAACTAGATGGGCAGCCTACTAGAGTATTGCAAAAAAAACAAGAAATCACAGGGAAAATTCTATCTCTGATAGCCAAAAATCTGACTTGAATTCGTCCAATAAACAGTTATAATTTTATAAAATAGTTGAGAAAATACAATTTTTACAGACTGTGGTCCATATTTGTACTCCATAAGGATGTCTACCAAATGACAGTCAATGCAGAGGAGGCTTTTAATAATGAGGTGGATGAAGTGACATGCTGACTAAATATCAGTTGGCTTCTTGTAACAGCCACCCAGTGCTTGCACAAGGATACATGAACAAAGTTGCCATCATGACAGGGACGGAAGCTATCATGGACTTGCCTTCACCAAGGCTGACCTGGTTAATTGAAACTCAGTCAAGAGCAGTGAGCAACAATCATCCAGAGACTTAGCACAAACCCAAGAGGCCCCAGTCAGCAGCCTGGTGGCACAGTGATGAGTACAGTAGATCTTGTTCATTGTGAGGGGAACAGAGATTGGTCCTCAGTAGAGTGTCTTCCCTTGCCATAACACTTTTTTCAGAACTACTATTTATTGACTCAAAAAAATGGCTTTCCTGCCATCCTGGCATTCTGCACAGCACAGAATATGATAAAATAATTTAGTTGCAAAGTAAGAGAAGCCATGTACTTAAGTCTATGAAATGAACTCATCACATATCCCATCACCTGGAAGCAGCTCACCTAATTGAAAGGTGAAGGACTTGCCAAAATATAAGACTACTGAAGACTCAGTTATGGTGCCACTTGGGAAAAATGCCCCAAAAGAATGGGGTTTACAGGATATAGTACATGCTTTGAATCAGAGGCCATTATGTATGGCTCTGGGAATTGAGATGTGGCAGGAGAGGGGCAAATCCCACTGTTACACCTCATAACCGACTCACAAAATTTTTGCTTTTTGTCCTGGCAACTTTGAACTCTGCTGGTTTAGCAGTCTTAGTTCCCTGGGGGGAAATGCTTCCACCTAAAGATACAAAAATATTTCTACTACATGGGAAGACAAGACAGTCACTTGGTTATCTTGGGCTCTTGATGCTACCTAACCAACAGCCCATGCCCTCCCACAAAATAAAACAATTACTCTATTAGCTGGAGAGATTAATCTTAATTTGATCTTCATTAATAAAGAGAAACTGGTTTGCCACTGGACTGTGTCTGTAACCCAGTGAATTTTCTGATGTGCTTCTGTGTTTGATGCTCAATGATGAATACTAATGCAAAAAATATAATGCCAAAGGGTGGTTGAGGATTCAAACTCTCTATAAATGTAATTCGACATCAGTAGAGAACTCTGACAAGCTGAGGCTCTAGCTGAGGGTTAAGAAATGGAGAATAATTAGTGGAAGTAGGAAGCAATTGATATCATTTATGATCTTGTGGTCAATTACAGAAATGAGAAATATAATAGATTTGCATATTTTATTTTTGCTGGTTATATGTGTGTCTTCATTGTATATAGTAATCATTTTTCTCTCATAGTTTTATATACAAGCTACTGGAGGTTAAATTTAAAATTCAGTCTTTAGATAAGGAATATTCAGTGGGACTAGGTTGAATTTGAGTAGTTAATGTAATCAGTTAATGTCTATTGGGTCAGAGAGAGTCTGCGAAGTTTACCAAGTTGGGTTTAGGGAGAATACACACACATGGGCACATACATGTGCGCGTGCACACACACACACATTATTTGCTGTGAGTGAATAGATTCAATATTAATTTTCATTTTCAGCAGTATGGCTCTTAATGAGTGTGTCCTGCCAAACCAGGATACAAAGAATCTCTTCTAATCTGCATTTCCAAAATTGTGTCAATTTGCAAAATTTAATGTTGCTGCTCATGATGATACGAATACACATATTATCATTTGTCGTCAGTTTGTACATGTGAATTAATTTTAATCTATGTCTTAGTGATAGAAGTTGAAGTTCTCCATTCAGGAAGCCACTCCAGAACCATCTAATTAAGCATTTCAAGTATTTTTATCAAAATCTGCACCCTGAGGTGTGTATATCAGCATACAAGAACTCCACATAATGGTTGTGATGCACAGTCCAAGAAGCTTGTCAGTCTAATCTTCAGCCTTCTAGGTTCAAAGTCATTTATGATTATAGGTTCACTTGCGGAGATTCCATCACATTCCATAAACCGCAGTGTTGGCTCTGATCCTGAGTCTGTGTAAGAGTAAAACTTTCTGTAAAGAATCTTGCAGAGACTGAGAGGGAGACTTTTCTGAGCATAAAGCATAGATTGTACAACTACATTCATACATTTGCTAATAAAATCGGTATGACTGGCAGAATTTGGAGTAAGAATTCCTGGTAACAAGGTTTGGGAAAGAAATGGTAGTCTGCAAATAGTCTCCATCTACCTCTAATGAGTAAATATAACCAGAGTTTGCCAAAAGCACCTGACAATTGTGAATGACTAAATGGGCTGAAGTCAGTTGGCATCACACTGAAAGAAAGACATGAATGGGGTTCCCTGTTAGGTAGATCTTAAGCTGAGTTAGTCATGAGAAATGTTACAGTGCAGAATACAACTTATTGTAATGGTATATTAAAAATGACATGCCTAATGAAATACATATTTTGTCCTTTATGTGTATGAGATTATAGAAGTAAACTGTGAGACAACATTGAAGGAAAAGCAAAGGAACAACACTGGAAGTATTTAGTCCACTTTACTTCAACTATGCTGCCTAAATATCCAAATGTGCACCACAATTTAAAAAGATTTAAAACCCCAATTATGAATTCTTGTTACTTGTTTCTGGAAATTGTACCCACCATTCTCGTAACTGTTCTAGGTGAAGAATGCTTCTGTTAGAACCATAGTTTAACTTAGCTCTACATTGGAATCACCTGAGGAACTTTAAAAATACTGATTCCCAAGTCTTGCAGAAAGAAAGAGAGAGAGAGAGAGATAAAGAAAGAAAGAAAGCTAGCTAGATAGATAGATAGGAGAGAGAGTAGTGGAAGTTTTAAAGCTCTTTCAGGTGAATCTACTGGGCAGCCAAGACTAAGAACCACTGTGTTAGTAGACACCAAGGCAAGCACATAATCCAGTCAATTTTTTTCTCTTAGAAAGTTAGGACTATTTGAAAATAATTAACAATCTCTAATTATTAGCATAAAATAAATTTAAGTGAATATAGGGCAAGATTTAAATGAATGAAGGCATCTAAATGCTGAACACATTTTACCACTAAACTCCACTTTATCTATTGCTGCTTAACTTGACTTTGATTTCCTACTCCCTGCTATTTAGAATCTTTTCAGCTTTGGGGAATTCATAAAACTAACCAACAAACCTTAGAGCTCCTGCCTGTGTTTGCTTCTTGATGGACAGGTATGGCAAAGATTCAAAGCCCATAGTAGGATGCAATCCCACCGCTGATGCTGCAAATTGTTGGTGGCTTCCTCAAGCCAGTGCATCATGATTAAACTACAGAAATTGTCTGCCTTGGTTTGAATCACCACTCTGGCTCTCTGATATGGGATCACTTAATGGCGTTGATACCCTAGAGTAAGTTATTAACCTCTCAGCCCTTCAATTTCCTTATCAGTGAAATGGGGGATAACAGTAGTAGTTATCTCACAGAGCTGTTGGGAATAATAAATGGAATATTATAGTTAAAAGTGTCTGGTGTATATTAAGTGCTCAGTAAATGCTAGTCATGTTATCTTATTAAGTCTTAGCTGATTTGTTAATGCTGGTAAACCTTTAGTATTCCACCCCCATTACTCACTGTTTTAAAAGCTTTTCTTTATTGTTGTAGAAATAGAAACAACGAAGAACTCAGTTTACTCCACACCATCTTCAGCTCCCTCTTGTATATTCTATAAGGATGAGATTCTTCTAGCACCCCAAGATAATTCGTACCTAATCAGGAAAAAAATTATATTAGCAATCAGTTACTAAATTTAGCAACTCAATTACCGTTGAATTATTTCTCTGCTAACAGCTGAGTTTTATATCCCTGCTTATATTACCCTCCCTTACTACACGCCCAAGCACATTAAAACCAATGTCAATATAAAAACCAAGTGATATGATAACTGTCCCCACTAAGCTTCAGCTACTGCTTGAGGGGGAAAATATGAAATAAAGCACAATCTAGGAAGAGGAGCATGGAAGGAAGATTTGGATAAAGGGAAAAGCATAAAAGGATGCTAAAGGGATAAAAACTTAGTCTGTTTCATAATCTTTGTCCTGTCCCCCGAAAAAGCTTTCCCTGAAGTAAGTACGAAAGGAAGAAATATTAACATACGATACAAATCCTCTGTGTCTGTTATTTCTACTGAAAGCTTTCAGGAGAAGACAGGCATTGTTAAAGTACATCCAAAAAGGAGGATGCTTCACTGAACACATGTATCCTCAAATCAATGCATTTTATGCTCTAGCCTAGCACTGTCCAATAGAACTTTCTGTGACGATGGACATTTCTATGATGTATGTTGTCCTATATGGTAGCCACTAACCATGCACTGCTATTGAGCATTTGAAATGTGGCTAATGCAATTGGGAAACCAAAGTTTTTTTGTAATTAATTAAAATTTGCATATGAATAGACATGCATGGTTAATGCCTATTGCATTGCATGGTGCAGTTCTAAATCCTGAAGGTAAATTGAAAGGAAGGCATATCTCTTTACAAAGTTTTAAAAAGCCATGAAATTAATACATGTTGCATGTTGTGTTTGCCTCTCCATAAACCTTCCTCATTGCATAGCAGCCTGTGGCTTGGGTAGAATGATCATCCATCCCTAAGCCAATCAGGACATAGTACCCTTGTCAGAAGGATTGTTTCTGGAATGACCCAAGAACATGAGGCTACATTGCTACAGGCAGCCATCTTTAAATTGAGAAGGAAGCGAGCCTTAAAGCTCAGCTGGCAGAAGAAGGAAAAGCAGCAGGAATTACAGAAATGTGAAGTCATGACCTGATCATACTTGAAGCTCACTCCCTCTGCTTTCCAATGCCCTGATCAACTTGCCAAATATTCAAATTATTGAATAGCCGATATTCAGGAAATTTTCATTTCTTTTCTGAAAGCTTAATATTTGTTCTTGTCTTGCCCTTGCTTTTACTTTTAACATTTTATAAAGGAATAAATAAATGGAGTTTCCCATTAACACTATTTACTGGCTTTTCTATTTGTGCGAACTTATGTCCTATCCATTTAAGACCAAGGCAGCAGAGGGGAAGAATGTAAGTCAGCAAAAACACCCCAGTGAATTGTATTTAACAGAAATCACACCCAATCAGATAAAGGGCCATGGCTGGAGCGCATTAGAAGCTTCAAAAAATATTCTCAGTTGTTCAGCAAATTATCCTTCTGGTGATTTTGTCTGTTTCTACTTTCAGCCCACTTCCTTGAGATTTCTCTTCATGGGGCTTGTGGGTTATCTCATTTGCTTCTTGGTCTCATTTCTTATTTTTGGTGCTCATATTTATTTTCCTGGAGTTCAACTCTAAGTATTCTCTTCAAAAAGTGTTCCAGAGAAGTGACATTTTAAGATGCTGTCTTTCTGAAAAGAACTTCATTTTGCCCTCACAACCAATTTAAAAACTGGCCAGGTTTAGAATTTTAGGTTCTAAATGATTTTTTCCTCCAAAATTTGAGGTACAGAATCACCTTTTAGTATATACTGGTTCTGATTTAAAGAAAATCTGATGGCAGTCTGATCCACATTTCTAGAGATCCCATTCTTCAAGAATTGCTTTGCTCTCGTATCTACTGACTTCTTTATTCTGGTTCCCTTCATTCTTAGGAGTTGCAATTATGAGTTTGTGGGAGAAAGGAGACAAATGCTGACATTTTGTAGCTTCTCTTGGTTTTCCTTAAGTCATGTCTGTTGGTTTACATACTGTATAATAGTATATAAATGTCTACATTAAATAATAGACTATGCGACATTGGAGGGAAAATTAGGTAGCTTTGGATCAATCCAACTGGATCAATTTTAAGCTAGATTGTCTTCAGAGAAAACCTGAAGCAAAAAGGAACTGAGAAATGAAAGAAGAATTAACCTTTGCGTCAGCAAAGACGATAAGGAGAAGCAAGTTGAAGTGAAGTGAAGTCAAGCAGTAATCTTGTGGTGTTTCTGTTCTGATCAATATTTATGTCAGTCCCTGAC